GTCTCAGTGGAACAACCGACGATTAGAGAGACTGAAGTTTTCGGTCTAATGAAGGAGATGCTGTGATAACGTCATTACGAACTCGTAGCTCGTGCACATTGATTTCCATGCATGTCCTTTTCAATACATTGAATATTTGTATTTTAGTGCTAACAAAATAATATTAAATCTATCGTTTTTAATCCCTTGGTTCTTGAAATGTTTTTCTTTTGATTGTTCATTTCATTTTTCATGCATGTTATTTATTTCAACACGGATCACTTGCTTCAGCCAATGGCTGTTCTTCAGCAAGTCCGTGCAATAAAAATCACATACAAAATAATATACAATTCAAATTAAGACGCAATACAAATTAAACAATTACAACAGTAAAAGAAGAGCGGATTTAAAATCAATTGAATAAAATATTATGAAAATAATTATAACGAGCATGATGAATCGGATAATTAATAAGAAAATTATGAATGTTTAATGACATCAAAAACTTTGATAATCACAAGACCAATTGGCAAATCATTTATTTTTCAATTCCTAATTTTAACTTAACTTTTACTTTACTGTATTTTATTTCATTTAATATATGTATTTATTAATTATTATATTATGTTGTTCATCATGCTCGTTATAATTATTTTCATAATATTTTATTCAATTGATTTTAAATCCGCTCTTCTTTTACTGTTGTAATTGTTTAATTTGTATTGCGTCTTAATTTGAATTGTATATTATTTTGTATGTGATTTTTATTGCACGGACTTGCTGAAGAACAGCCATTGGCTGAAGCAAGTGATCCGTGTTGAAATAAATAACATGCATGAAAAATGAAATGAACAATCAAAAGAAAAACATTTCAAGAACCAAGGGATTAAAAACGATAGATTTAATATTATTTTGTTAGCACTAAAATACAAATATTCAATGTATTGAAAAGGACATGCATGGAAATCAATGTGCACGAGCTACGAGTTCGTAATGACGTTATCACAGCATCTCCTTCATAATCATTTTTGCCTTGCGCACAGACTAGAAGGGATGAGATTTAGATAAATAAAAAATAACAACATACGCAGGACGAACACCACTGCATGACTTTCAACACGGCTGTCAATTTAGACCCGTAATTTCCTGAAAAGGGACCATTAAACGCATTATACAGTCAAATTTGGTAAGTGGAACCGAGGTAGTAAAACCTTCTCCTAAGTTTAAATAATCAATGAATGAGGTAAAATTACATTTTGGGGGATTTTGGGGGCAAAACGCTACGACCAGAGTTGGTCGTGGCGTTAGCAAGGACATGTGATTAAACGGTTTCCGTCTCTAAAGAGAGAGCCGGCCGACCCTACCCCAATAAGAGGCTAACGAACGAAAGAGACGGAAAATTCGGTCTAATGCAAGTAGTGCAGTGATGCGGCACTATGAGTCTGAAGGGGGGGGGGGGCAGAGGGAGGGGGCTAGGCTATCTGATTCTGCACATATGTGTACAGTACTAATTAACCTCAACCTTTCGTCTATTCATTAACTCTGGAGGAGATGTATCTGTGTCTTGTCATTTCAGCTTCAACTTCAAGCTTGCTCATGCTCCTCTCCATTGAAATTGAAGTTTAAACTTTAAAGTTATAAATTACCTGTACCTTTTTTTAACTTGAATCTATACCCTTCCGTTTTGTTAGAAATATGTAGTTAAATGTAACTGCATACTGGAAATTTGTACTTGTTAGTATAGTATAGACCATAATAGAAGAATAGATATATTTCTTTATATTGCGTTTTAATTCATGTCCTTCACTCCTTGTTTTTCTCTTTATTTCATTTTCTCGGCACATAAATACAAAGAGGACCGGTGTTTACATGCCATCGAAGCCATGAGGAAGTGCTGTGACAAATTTGATTCCACAGTTTCTGTGTGCTGCTCAGGATTTCTCAAGGAGAAACACTTTGGGAAAACAAAGCAGGATTCTTCCGCACATAGCCAGCATTCATGACAGCGCTTTCATCTTAATTGCAAGGAATAGACTTTTGAAAAATATTCTTGTACCTTGGGATACTTGATGGCCCCAGCACCTCTATCGTGGCTTAAGAGGATGTAGTATGACATGGATGAGAGGACATGTGTACGTCCCACAAAATCATAGTTTTGACAGTGCATGTAAAAATTGCAAGGATTGTAACCTCTCTTGTCCCTTATTTTTTTGGATGTTGAAAAAAAACTGATGTAGTTCATACATTTTTGGTTTGAGAAGTTTTATAGCTTTTTTAATAACTACTATTGTAGCAGATGAAAATCATCTACCAACACTAGAACAGGAATGAGGATGCACTAGTTGACTTATTAGTATTACCCTCTACTGGCATGTAATTTCATGGATATCTTGTATAGTCTCAAGAAAGAAGGGAAAACAAAGCAAGTTTCTTCTTTATGGCAGCACCATCATCTCTCAAGAAATACACTTTTGAAGAATGTAGAGACTTGTAACTTGAGATACCTGACTTGTTGAAACTTGTTGAAATGTGTTGTTTCTTCCTCAATATTATTAGCCTAAAGGTTTCTCCTGTAAGAATTTAATGAAGTGGTGAAAATAAAATTTATGTTGTGGTAAACCTGGTGATGATGAATTTGTGATAAAATTATGTCTTCCAGTTTTTAGTCAAGAAAATTTGCTCTCTAAAGTGATTATTTTGACAATTTATAGTATACCACATCCTCATGACATTGTAAAATTGGTGTACTTTGTTGATGCACCTTTCAAATATACCAGTATCAGTATGTTAAAGTGTGCATAATTCCTGCAAAGTTCTACAGAATTTGATGTTGGCTGGAAAAGGGATATATGGAAGTATATTTAAAGTGTGTATATTATTGAAGAAGTACAGATTATCTTATCTTTCATTTAAGGTGCAATAGAAATGGATGAACTGTTTATAGGATAGGAATATTGAATGTTAAACCTATTTGTACTTCTCAATATGATATCAAATTGTTTTTTGTAAATTTAAACATGAATGAAGATACCACTGCCAAATGTGAGTCATTTTCTACATGAATTATATATTGCAATGTAAAACTGATATATAAATTGAATTAAAGTTGAAATATTTCACTTAAAAACATATACTTTTGCTTTCGTTCGTGTACGATATTAGAAAACTCATCAGAAAACTTGTAGGCTGTGGTAAGCATGACAAAAAAATTGTTTGTGACTCGAGAGTGACCCAACATTTGCTCTGATAGTAATAGCTTTGGGCATTATATCTATAACCATTTTTTCTATGTATATGTAGGGAAAAGAGAAGTAGAGAATGAGCATTCAAAGATTGTTGGAGGGGGAGGGCTGGTAGCCAAGAGTGGAAACAAAAAGGGGGAATGTACTGAGAAAAAAAGAAGAGTTCTCTGGGTGCATGGCAAGAGAGGAGTTACACGTAGTAGTGAAGATAGAAACAAAGCTTTGGATTAGAGAACATTGCCCAAGTCTACATTCTATTGTGGCTGAGAGCATCAAAATGTTTGCCAGTTCTTGAATGAACATAACATTTCTAACATAATATCGGACTGTAAAAAAATAAATACTGGTAAATAAATCTGCCTGATTCCTTAACCTCTACATGGTGTGTGTCCCCCCCCCCCCCCCCAACAACAACAAATACACTATATCGTCATTCAATAAACATATTGTTGACTTTTTATTGAATCAGCTTATCTGTATGTACATATGAAAACATGAATACATACACACACTTCTAAAGTTAACAAAAACATGATTGAATTGAATACACAGTAACAAATGCAGGCAAAGTCCAAGATTTTGTTCGAGATAGTGTCCCACAGTCAACCTGTCAATTATATGTATTTCATCATCCTACAAGGGTTTGATGGGCCAAAATATTAATTCATGCTTTCTTTGTCAGTATATTATGTTTGCATAGCCTTCTCTAGTTCCAGATGTGAAATAAATCAACAAGATAATACTTCATACTCAAAGCCCCCCCCCCCCAAAAAAAAAACAACAACAACAACACCCCAGATGCATCATGTTTTAATTACCATACCGCATACCGGTATTCAGCAAATCAATTTGAATGGTCTCATCAAAGGTAATACAAAGTTTTGGGAAATTTTGAAAATTGGGTGGATAGTGATTCTTTACAATTTTTATATATGTGGATGCCCCTGTGAATGTATTAGAAGCACTAGAAAATTTAGCCCCTTAAAAACTTCTGCTTTCGAGAAAAATTTAATATAAATATTTACCGGTGCTCCCGGGAAATTTTGATAAATTTCAAATAGCGCCTACGGCCGTACAAGGGTACATGTAGCTGCGACCATGAAAATCTCAGAATATGTAATTGTGATATATAATTTCCAAATGGGAATAGCTAATCGGTCGATCTTAGTCAAGAAACATTGTTTTATAGGTTAATTAATATCTTGACCTTGAGAGGGAGTTATACAACATAAAGAGTGTATTATTTACAATTTCATAACTTTAGACTCGATTTCAACCGCGACAATGACCACTGAATATTGTAGGATCTCATATGCTTCCAATATGTTCATTTGAACCAAATTCATGACCCCATACCAAAACTTTGTATTACCTTTAAAACTCTCCTTGTAGAAACTGTTATCAACAAAAGATGGTTTACATTCAACCATACTAGCAGTAGAGAGAGGAGGGGGGGGGGGTGGGGGTCTTCTATACAACAGATAATGGAGAAAAACCAAATCTAGTTGATACTTCAAGAGGTGACAATTCCCTTCTACAGAGTTTGAATCTGGCTTAAACTTCCATGGCGAGATCTTGTTGGTCAAGGTGAGACAAAGCCTCCTAACCCCCCCCCCCCTCCCCCCCCCCCCCCCCAATAAAAAAAAGAACACTCGTTCATGAAAAGCCATGTTACCAGTGTTGCAGGGACAGTTCATGTTTTGTTTCAATATTTCAGCAATAAGTAGAGTTATACTCCACAACTACAGCCTAAAGCTACATAAAACGTGCACACTCATGTTGTGTTTCATACATTATTCTCATCTGTATTTAACATGTTTGTACCACACAAAAATAATAAATCAAAGATTATTCAAATATTGTAAAGAAACAAATACAATAAATGATTGCACAGAATTTTTTGATGCAAAGAAACAAAACAAATTATAATGAAGGTTGTGAACACTGAATAGCTTAAATGTACAAAAAAGATGCATTCTATTGACTAATTACGTCGACTTACAGTCCTAGACCTTAACTAATATATTGGGGTTGTACGAAAATTACATACAGACATGATTTTCATGAGTAGTCCTACAAATCCTACATGTACAAAACATCAAAGGAGAAATGGCTGTAGGGAATCAATTACACAAAGTTAAAGGTAATAATTATATAGCGCTTAATATATCTACGATGTCTCTAGAAGCGCTTTACAGATATACTATTACCCTGGATTCATTACTTGCCCACACACACTGTGTGCACCATCTAAATCTTTCATACATTTTTTTCCTGACAGTTTAAGCATAACTGTTTAACATTTCAAGTACACGTACTTCAATGATCAATGTTTTCAAAGGTTAAGAAGTACCTCTAAGTAATATAAACACTGATTCTTTTTATGTTTAGCACTCAAGGAAACAATGCATCCATTATAGATTTCAGTAGGATTTCACTTCACTATATATGTACAATGGTCAAGCAAGGGGCAATAGCGGACCAGTTTATTACATTCATGTTGTACAAGCTACAAAGACACATAGGCCTGTATTCTCGAAAGTACCCTAACATGAGGCTAGGTTTAACGTAATTAAACCCTATCAAAGAGCAAAGATTTGGTCCATCGACTTATCGAGTGCCAAACATCTACCCCTCCAATCTTGTACAAATCACCATACTTCTATATTTCTAAATACAGACTTATACTTCAAGTTTAGTATTTTTTTTATTCACTGCTACTTTTCAATTTTGTATTACTTATTCTAATAATGAATAAAAATACACAAATGGAAGTACTTGCACATGACCAATTACATTGGTCTATTTCTTTTGTTATATCATTACAGTCATTTCAAAGGGTTGACACTTGGCTTTTCATACATCGGTGGCCTATTCTAAGCCAGGATTATTAACTTGGGCTACTTTCAAGAATATCGGCATACATGTATGAATATACCAATACTCATGATTAAATGGACTTCTAGAAGTTTGAGTACTGCGTACATCTCTACCAGTTCATTGTGTGCCAGGCAAAAGGGTGCAATTAGCAGGGGCGTCCCTATTATACACTAAACCATTTCACATCCCGTTCCCGACACCCTTTTAACGTGCACACAATTTAAAGCTAATAACCCACAAATTACAAATGGTAGCTATTAATCATAGTATCATCAGCAGTGGCATTTCATTTGAAAATAATCATATAATGCATATTATCTACAATTTAAAACAAAATCATATTAACATACGGTAGATTGATCTGATTTGATGGTGGGTGCAATGAGAACCTGTTTATGATGCAAGTCAGTGTACGGACAGCCTATGCTATTGCCCTGTTCACACAAGACTTTGTAAACTGCCTAAAAAAAGGGCAAAGCAAACTAAAATTACATAAATCATAGTGAGCTTCACTTCTCTGTGTATTCTAATACAGGGATAAATGAGAACCAGTATGCATAGAATAGAGGGTTTAGTAACCCAGAGTTATTTCTTTTCATCCCAACCTGTCATGCCGGTAGTAAAATGGTTCAACTTAGCCACAGATTATTTTTTTTACGGCTGTTTACTTAAACTTGTGTGAACGAGGCCTATGAAGTGCAGATTTTTCTTGTCACAGTTTGATCCACAGGATAGCCACCTAATAATCAAACACCCTGATGTTCATATTTTGAGATCCATTTCTCCACCGCATGAATCTAGGATTACAGTGTTAAAGCTCTCCTCTCCTGGAAATGGTTGCCACTTTGGATTAAAGCTGGTGACTGTCGCAAGAAAGATGGCTTGTCCATTGGAATAGTTCAATATCATTTGTTACATAGCCATCCCAAGGAGGAATCCTGCTGCGAAACCACTGGAGATCATCACATTCTTCTTGACAAAAATCTTTTCCCTGCAGAAATTAGAATAAGAGTGTGGGGGGGGGGGGGGTGTTTTAACCACTTTATATATTACATATGAACAGTAAAACCTGCATTAGCGACCACCTGTAGAGAAAGATCACCCATCTATAAAGACCACATTTTTTGTTTCCCTTGAATAGTGTTTGACATTAGTGTATTTTCCATTATATAACAGCAGTGTTCATTGGAATTTTTCACATCGAAATCAGATTTTTCATGATATCTACTACATACTACATGTATTACTACATGATCTTATACATAGTTTCATTTGGCTAACAATAATTTACTAAAAATCAGTCAATTTGAATATCTGTGAATTGTTTATTAAAGTACAAATATGAGAGGCCCTCGCAAGGTGTTTTATTGGATATTTTTTAACTTTGACTGATATGCTTCTCTAAATTTTATGAATTTATGCAATCAAGCCAACTTGATGAAGCTCTGCCATCACCTACAGAGTGACTCTGAATTACCCAAGTTCAAAGTAGTGCTTTCGAATAGTGATGTTTGAAGGGCGGTCATCAATCTTACGTGACTGATCGACATCTGTAAAAACCTGGGGCCTGTCTTATAAACAGTTGCGATTAATCACAACTTATTTCCCATTGATATCTTATTCCTTGTCTGTTTGATCTTATGTTTGATCTCAATTTTATTTTTATTATTATTATTATTTTTATATATGCATGATTTATTAAATAAAGAACAGATTTCATGATTTATAATTTGTGTGTTGATTATAAATTTTGGTTGGTAATGTTTAGTCAGACAATGGTGCGCTTAGAAACACACGTATTAAGCGCCCAATAAATGTTGTGTATTATTATTATTATTATTGATAAAGATCGCAACTATGTACGTAAGAGATAAAGAGCCGTAAATGTTTGATTGATTGGAGGACTTGCGATTGATTCAGAATTTCAGATCAATCGTAACTTTTTATAAGACGGGGCCCTGATATTATAAACACTCACTACCCTGTAGATTGGATTTCCCCTTTAAAACCTAATTTTAAAATGAAAGGTTATTCACTACTCACTTTGTTGAGTGTACTCTGAATGGCTGGATATCTCTTTTCAACCTCCTTGGCAGCGGTTTGCTGAGTTTTACTGATATCCTTTTCAAACTGCTTCCAGTTAACCTTCAGGTAACCTGTGTGATGTCCTACCTGTCACCAAGACAATAGAAAAAGATTTTGTGTACATGTCATTGTCATCTCACAAGTGTATTTATATATTTGTCTAATCTATTAAGCTTATCTGTACTAGTTTACAGGAGGGATTAGACCACACTTCAAGGTCACTGGACATGTTGTTACCTCATCAACTCAGCTCTCAATAAACATAAGAAAAAGAGCATCATGTGGGACGGACCAATGGTCACCAATTAGGCATTGTTTTCTATATAGAGGGAGCAAGTAGCTACAAGTGGGACAGTGTGGTTTTAAAGGTAGTATTTGATTTTTGGAAACACATGTTGAAAAGAATTCCAAAGGGTTTGAGGAAGTAAAGAGTAGCAATAATAGTATGGAATTCCTTTATAATTATTCATCTCATAACTCTGACATATTTTGGGCAGTACTGAGAACTGTTGCTGTTTTTGAAAACAAGAACAGCAACCTCTTTAGTAAAGATGGTATAGTCGGGTGGTTAAAACTCTTGACTAGAGAAGGTCATGGGTTTGAGCTTCGGGTACAATTCTGATTTGTTTTATTTATAGAAAACAACAAATAAATCTTAAATCGCATATTTAAAAAACATTTTCAATCTGCTTGAAAAAGATCACAAAAACAAAAATCAGAAATTATATGGGCACATTTTGTGTACTTAATATAGCATGATGGTAACATGGTAAGGGGGGGGGGGGGGTCATAGTCGAGTTGTGTCCCCCCCCCCCCCCACCAGTGCTTATTCCAAAAGGGTACTCACTAATACCAACATGAATCCACCTCCTACTGCTGTTGCTGCTGCCTTGCTGACCTTCTGAAAGAGATACCCAGCAACCCTGCCAAGAGTATGAAGTCATAAAAAGGATATTATCAAATTGAAAGTCCACCCTGACTTAAATTAATTTTCAATAAGAGAAGGAAAAAGACTGCCTCAGTCTCTTGTGGTACCCTTGATTCCATGTATAATGATTTGCATCTGTGCATTTCTGATGTGTACTGTATGTGTATATGCTCTTACTGGAATTAAATATAATTGAACTTAGACTTAACATTTTTGTAAAAATGAATTACTACGAGGCACTTTCATATCCATTGAGTTTCCTATTGACCTTAGAAATTACATGATAGCTTTGTTAAAGTTTATTGATTTGAAATCATTATTTTGCAAAATGTATACATAAATACAAATACATGTACATGTATTTGATAAAGAAATATTCTGGAGAGTCCACGATAGACATTTATGCCAAAGTTTTGAACAAGGTTGATGAACATTCAAGCAGATGCCAATCTGTAAATTCTCTTCCACCTCCTGCATCACAGTTTAATTAATTTCTTATGCAATCAATCGTAAGATTTTCTGATATTTTATGATATCTTGGATTTCAACTTCATGATTTGCTGTCTTTCAGGCTCGTAGATTGATATTCAGATCTTGAACAGATGATAAATGCTAATTTTTCTCAATCTCCTCATAGATTGAAATATATATTTTACCATCCACTTGTGCCGCCCATTGCGAGTTGAACAGGAACTGATTTTTTTGAGAGTTCTCCATCTAGTGCCCTCTCCAGCCAGTTCTTGCCAGCCTCTGCAAGCTCCAAGATTTCAAAATTGTCATCAGCATCATTAGTTGCAGCTGCATTGTCGCTGGTTGACTTTGATACTAAAACAAGAATGAAATCACAAAATAGGAAAAACAATATGAACAAGGCTGTTAAATTGAAAGTGGTGTGTTCAGCCCACGGCCATACTCAGGTTTTCTGAGAAGACTATATCTGCAGTTTTATTAAATCTTTATAGGTCTAGACCCTATTTAATAAACAAGAAAAATTTCAATGATTAAGAAACAAAAGTCACATGCCATGGCATGCAAACGGTGGTGGCAAATTACTTGCAAAAATTACTAGTTGCCGATAACAAGAATGAATATAAATATAGCAAACATTGTCTAGGGCCTACAGACTTAACACAACTAAAGCCCGGACAAACTCACTCATTTATCATTATTATTCATAATCATTATCATCTTTGCCCAAATTATCTCTGCAACTCCAGTAAAATAAACGTGCATTTACAATCTAACCATAGCCATCCCATTCCCCCCCCCCCTCCTTCTTTATTTTCCCTTTCCCCTTTAGTATCGAGAACAAACGACGCGACATTAGACTTTACAGTTAGCACTCCTGCAATGCACATGACAAAGAGTACTAACGCAGAAATCAACATCTGGGACCGACATTAAGTTTTTGTCTCACTAACTCATGAAAGATACCACACAATGAGCTATAAAGTACAGGAATATAATTTTTTATATAAACCATAGATGAAGAAAATCATAGACTTAAGAATAAATATATTACAAATAATAAAGTCCATGACTATATTCACCTGCCGTTGCCATTTTCAAGCCGATGTCCATTATCAGTGTCTAAAAAGATTGTCTTTAGACTAACTAGGCCTATTGCATAATCAATCTACCGGTAGTTGCATGCAAGCGCAATATGCCAAAGTTTGTAGACCCGTACATTTCTGACAAAAACATTTTATTTAGTTCATTTTATTAAAAAACGTCTGGTTTACTGAAAATAATAAAAGTTACAACAACAACAATAATAATAAGGATAATAATAATAACTTAATAATACATTTTTTAAAATAAGAACAGCAACAACAATAATGATATTAATAATAATATGATAATAATAAAGATTAAAATAGTAGTAATTATAACATCAATATTTCTATTAATATCGTTATACAAAGTTCCGATAATCCCTAAATCCCATAATAATAGTTGGCTATGCATTACGTTGATGAAATCTTATTCTTCATATATAGTTATTTCGGCCTACATAAAAGAAAATGATGGTGAAGTGTCTTTTGCTAAGGAATATAGGCTTATTTCTCACGAAAGAATGAGTAAAATGATTACAAATCTGTTATGAAAACCAAGGCATTTTGATCCGCCCTATACGGTAGGCTACGCACAAAAAATATGCCTAAGTAATATTTATGAAATGGGATTTCTTAATTTTGGAAGAGGATCCGGGATAATTTTATGTCTGATTCTGGAAAATCACTCTCCTCCCCCCCCCCCCCCCCCCCCCCCCCCCCCCCCCCTCCCCCCTTAAAAATTACCCCTTAATAGTCATGCAATAACCTCCGGAGGACAAATTATATTACCCCCTATATAAGACAATTGCCAAAAGACAAGATATCATCAATATAGCGACCTCCCCCCCCCCCCCTCACCCACACCCACGGGGGGGGGGGGGGCGGGGTTGATTATCCAGAGGGTCATTTCTGGAGGGTAATTGCATGACTCTAGGGGTCATTGTCCCGCTGGTAATTGCCCAGGGGTCACATCAAGGGGGTAATTTTCTTAGAACCGTTTAATACCTGTATTGATTTTGAGGCTTACGATTTTGTATTCTAAAAAGATACCAGATTGAATTAATATAAAGTAACTTTTACAGACCTAATACAGACAATTTCTTCCAATTTTCTTCTAGATAAATTATGTTTAACGAATTGATATTGATGGTATTTTAGTATGGAGATGATTCCACACCCGGAGCATGATGTCGAAATGAGAAATAATATATAATTTTTCTTAACAGACCATAAGTGATATAATACTCTTGTGGTATTTAAATGTAAGCATTGCTGAAATTGAATAATGTAGTAAATTTAGCCTATCTCTCTCTTCCCCCCCCCCCCCCCTCTCTCTCTCTCTCTCTCTTTTCTCTCTCTCTCTTTCTCTCTCTCTTTCACGTCTCTCTATATTATACATGTATCTCCTTTCCTCTCTAGTTTTTAATTGTCTTTTACCTTCTTCTCTCTTTCTTTTCTCCTTATTTTCTTCATATATGTCGCCCCGCTCCCCATCTTCAAAAGGGGGATCGAGCCCGGACTGAGCGGCTGAAGGTGTACAGCTATAGGAAGACCATTATATAGCCTAGCCTGATTAAAAAAAATATATTTCATAAATTACCATCCTGAGATGGCTTTATTCCAGCTAGATACCATGCAGTTTAGCTGTATTCAATTCAATTCAATTCAATTCATTTATTTTCCACAATAATAAAAGTACAAAGATGTACATTACATATAACAGATATAATGTATATACAATAACAACAACAAATACCAAAACAAAAGGTGAACATTTACAGTAACATTGACAAAGAGGAAAATGAGCATAAGTGATTGATTAAAGTGTAATGATATAGAACATGTTATTATTGCGGAGGGAGCCAACTGGAAAACAGGAAAATAGTCTTAAGTGCGTTGGCACCCATCATGATCAATTAAATATAATCTTAATACATTAAATAACAATTGAATAATTGCGTTAAACAAAAAAAAAAGCAAAGTAAATTTGTATATAAAGAAAGAAAGGACGGGTTAAGAAGCTCTACTAACGTTGTAGTTGATTACAGTATGAATTTATCAAGTGTTTTTTTAGTTTACGTTTGAAAGATTGGAGTGACACTGAGTTTTTTATTTCATTTGGTAAAGAACTCCACAGTTTTGGGCCGGTAAAAAATAAAGTAGATTTTGCATAGGATGTACGTATTTTGGGGAAATGAAAATCATTAGAAGACCGAGTTTGATAAGAGTGAATACTTGCATTTATAGGAAATAGATCAGTAATATAACGAGGAAATAAGCGATTTTTACATTTATACATGAACATACCAGTTTGTAGCTGACAAATATCGGATAGGCTTAATACATTGAGCTTATGAAATAGCGGAGCAGGATGAGAGTTATACGAGGATTTTGATATCAGGCGAATGGCTTTTTTTTGTAGTTTAAAGATTCTATCAGACAGGCGCGGATCCAGGATTTCTTAGAGGAGGGGGCCCAACTTTCTTTTTGTTTGCTCCCGAAAATTTGAAAAACGCGCCGGCCAAAAATTCCTGAGCGCCAGGGGGGGGGGGGGGGTGGCCCAACCCCCAAATAAGGTAAAAAATCACGTGATTTTACATGATTTTTTTTCTCTCCGCCACTGCTATCAGAATATGACTTAGGACAGCCACCCCAATTTATATTACAGTATGATATGTGGGGTAGGAAAAGGGTATTGTAAATAGTAAGAAGAATTTTTTCGGGTAATAAATTGCGCAGGCGATATAGGATACCAACAACTTGAGAAATGTTAGAACAAACATCTCCTAAATGATATTTCCAAGACATGGATTCATCTATATGAACACCTAAAAATTTGGTATGATTTTTATGTAATAGTTGGGATTTGTCCATATGGATTCTTATATCATCAATATTATAATTCATATTGCTAAAAACCATACAGTTAGTTTTAGACATATTTATAATTAACTTATTACATTTCAACCACTAATATACATTTTGTAATTCTTTATTAAACGTGGTATTAATAAGGGGAATATCTTTATGGGTAAAAAAATACTTGTATCGTCGGCAAACTGTATAAAACTTAGGACATTTGATGAACACTGAATATCATTTATGTAAATTAGCAAAATAATAATGGGCCGAGGATAGAACCCTTTTTTTTTTCTGGCTCCACTGTATGATAGCTACCTTCGGGATTATCTCTACAAGTAACAAGTAAAGATCGCAAAAGTTCTGCTGAAACTATGTCTGGCTCCATGACCACCTCTTAACAGACACTACCAGCTAGGGTGTATCCAGGGGGTGGATAAAAAATTATTCCCATGGCTGACCTAAAAAGGTGACCTTACCCCCCCCCCCCCCCCTCCCCCCCCCCCTACGAAGCCAAATGTCAATTTTTCAAATTTCGAGACCAAAAAAAAAAAAAAAAGTGTCCTCTTTTTGTTTTAAAGCCCAAAAGCCAGATATTAAAAGTTAATCATTTTTCCAATTTTGGTGTAATAAAATAATTATTGTTGGTGTTGTTGATGTATGGGAAAGAATTCCAAACCACAATATGTCAATGGATTCCTCAAAAAAAACTTGAAAAAGGGCCTATGGTGAGGGGGAGCAGCTGAGTGTAGGAAAAAACTGTAATGGAGCCCCTTTGGGGGGGGGGGGGGGTCTTTTTTTTTGGGGGGGGGAGTCTTTTTTTTTGGGGGGGTCTTTTTTGGGGGGGGTCTTTTTTTTGGGGGGGGTCTTTTTTTTTGGGGGGGGGGTCTTTTTTTAGCTGGCGGTCGTCAGCGTAGCCGGCGGCCGGTAGCGTTAGCCCCAAAGCCATGTCCAATTTTTAAACTACATTCAAGAGTCCCTTATTGCCAGGTTAAACAAGTTTTTTACATTTTCAGTACTACTTACATCCATTTATTCAATCTGTACACTCCCATGCTATCCTTTTCCAGTCTGTAAACAACTTTACAACATGAATTCAATGATGGGCAAGGTTTTACTCCTCATATGAAAGCGCCCAAACTTCGCGAGATGAAACAAAGGGTCTAGCTTTCAATTCAAGTCTATTCAAGCCCAATATGGGCTAACAACTGGCCTGCATACCCGAGCAGAATCATTTTGTGCTCGACAAAGAGACACAGCCTTGGGTAAAGAGGTCCATTATTATTATTTTTTTTAGTTATATTTTTTCATTGACAGTATACTATTAAATATCAGGAATATTGGATGCTCTGTTTCAAATACAGTCCAGATTGCCGAGCAATGAATTATCTCATGCTTCTTGTCCTTAAACCATATCTAACTGGTTTTTAAAACGGTATCATTTTAATTTCCATTTCCCAGCATTATTTTGAACTGTCCCGAAATCGCTTTCCTTTTTTTAAATGAGACTACAGCCCCATTCTATCCTTTTTCTATTGGGATATTTAAAGTGCGTGTCCTCCATGCAGACAAGGAGAAAGACTTTCTCAGTACCTTTATGGACAATACATCAACATAATGCGGTCATTGTTGCAATGTCATGAATGCTATTATTACCTCTTATGTAATCCTCGCAATTGACAAAAATATTCCGTCAATGAAGGGAGGGTCGGGTTTTTTTGCTTCAATGCATTAATTGATGCTGCAGGTGCAAGCTATTGAACACAGAATCGAATAGCCAAGCTTCCCTATTCATTTGTGCCCTGTTACAGAATTCGTAGCATATCCTAAATTGAATAGATCCGTGTTCTGTTCATTATGCTATGTCAGGGCAGTGGCCTATTGTCATATCACTTGAAGTTTAAGTCAGCAGATTGCAAAATAAATGAAAATAACATAAAACCTCACTATTATATCAGAAATATCAGTAACTGAAAGAAAACATTTACGGGCAATCTTGACAACATCGGACTGCAAAAATATGAATAATTATGCATCCCGAAATCGTTAAATCAGTAAATCAACATATTAAAGTCGTTAACATGCAGAAAGTGCTATAAGACCAAGAAGTGAGCCACTTAGTAGCAGTGAGGCAAAGTGGTCTTGCGGATAAGACTGATCGCTTCACAACGCAATGTATGTATGTACTCGGGTTCGACTCCCAGCTTCTTCTTTATACCTCATGTTATTTTTATTT